GGGGGGATATTATCCCTATTGAGAGTGAAATTTTTTTTACTTCATCTATATAATTAATGATTTCAATTTCGTATTAAATAAAAACCAAAACTCTCCTACTCTCATAGGAAAAAAAGAGAAAAAATATTCTCAATTTTCCAATGAGAAATTGAAATTAGCTCTGAAATCTCATTTCTAACATGTTTTATTTCACCATCCTAATAAATATCCAATTTTGTTTTTTTTAGACATTTTAATTTTTTTAATTTTTTTATAAAAGAATATAAAAATTTAATTATGCAGATCTTTATAAAAACACTCTCTGGAAAGAGTCTTACCCTTGATGTTGTTGATGCAGATACTATTGAAAATATTAAGGAACAAATACAGAATAAAGAAGGTATCCCATCAGATCAACAAAGGCTAATTTACGCCGGTAAACAATTAGAAGATGAAAAACTTATTACTGAATATAATATTCAAAAGGATTCAACCTTACATTTAGTCTTAAAATTGCGGGGCGGGGGTATAAAATCTAGGAGGGAGGAATATAAAACTGACACACCCACACCCCCCATACCCCTATTTCTTGCTCTTACTTCTTTATAAAAGACTGCGTTTGTTCAAAGAAATTTTTAAGTAGCCTGCTCATAGAGAAAATGCAACAAGCAATTCAGCTTCGTCGTCGGCAACTATCACCATACAAAATATTTTATGGATTTAAGTTTAAAAGCTTAAATTATGAACAAACAAGATTAGATACATTCGTAGAATGGCCATTGAATTGGTTGAAACCAGCAGATTTAGCAAAAGATGGATTTTATTATATGAGAGACAAAGATATGTGTAGTTGTGTGTATTGTGGTGTATTAATTGAGAATTGGAAAATGGACTGTGTCTCAAGTGAACTACCAAGAGAAAGACATACACATAGGTCTCCCCAGTGTCCGTTTATAAGTGGATCTAAACCAGTTGGTAATATTCCAATGGAACAATGTAAAATATTATCTATTGAAGTAGATACAGAAGAAGAAGAAGAGGCAGAAGAAGAAGAAGAGGCAGAAGAAGAAGAAGAGGCAGAAGAAGAAGAAGAGGCAGAAGAAGAAGAAGAGGCAGAAGAAGAAGAAGAGGCAGAAGAAGAAGAGGCAGAAGAAGAAGAAGAGGCAGAGGAAGAAAGAAAAGAGGAGGAAGAAGAAAAGAGGAAGAGAAAAAGGAGGAGCCTGGCACTGGAGAATTTAATGAATTGAAGAAGAAATATATTTTATAAAAGATAAAGATGGACGGAAGTTTAGTATTATTAGCAATTTAATTTATGGTACACAGCATATTGAATACAAATATATTCCACGAGAGAGGATATTGTTATTTAGCACACTTGATAATAGAAAGTCTACATACAATGATTGGCCACAAACTCTCAATTCTATAAAAATGGCCGAGTCTGGTTTTTTTTACTGTGGTATAAGTGACCATGTACAATGTTTTGTGTTTGGAATTGGGCTTCGAAATTGGAGACGTTTTGATAATCCTTGGATTGAGCATGCTCGTTGGTCTCCTCAGTGTCCTTTTGTTGAGGAAAAAAGAGGTGAAGATTTTATTAGAAAAAAAAAAAAAAAATCGTCGTTGTTTAGGGACAAAGGTATGTGTATAAATAATGATGGAGTCAATATACAGTGTAAAAGATGTAGCAACTTGTGGCGTCACCGATGTTTTACTAAGACAGAAATTGATAAAATACTGGAATTGGATATTATCCAATGGGTTATAAATAATAATAACATTAAAAGAAAAATTTTAAAGAATGCCTTAATAGTTAGATTAAAGGAAACTAGACGGCCCTTTTTAATGTATAAATATGTTTAGACTATATAAAGAATTGGGAAAAAATAAAACACTTATATTTTTTATTATTTACAGGTATATGTTTTATTATTTATTTAATAATTTTATACTTTTATATTTGAACAACGAAGACAAATTTGGCCTTTATTGTAATTAAGTCTTACTTTTATTTTTTTACTAAAAATTTGAAGGGATTCTGAGAAAATTATAAATTTTAAAATTCTTGTGATTATTATTCCAATATCCACAAAAATACGGCGACATCCTGTAAAAATAAAAATCAGTATAGTACAATTTTAAAATTAGGGATTTTTCATTTTCAGATATGACATTAAAAGTTAGTATAGGGTACATTTTTATTGTTTTACATAGTTTACTGATTTTTACCAGTTTGCTCCTAAAAGATGCATTTCTGTTATAGTTGATTAAGTACAGATAGATCCTCCCATTCCTCTTTCACTACAGGAAAATCTAATCCTTAGTTTATCTTACATTGTAGATGATTTACAGGAAAATCTACATCTAGTTTCTCCTCCTCCTTCTTAGATTGTAGGCGATTTACTTCAGACAGGGGTAGATTTCAAACTCACATTCCTCCCATTCCTCCTTCTCTACATCAAATAATTCCTTAAGTTGTAATTTAATTTCCTCTTCTTCCTCCTCCTTCTCCTCCTTCTTGTGGTTTATCCTCAGGCAATTCTACTTCATCAATTATCGTCGTCTTCGTCCGTCATTATCCTCCTCGTACTTATGGTGGTGGGGATATGTGTTTTTTTCTGTGGTGAACCAGGCTATTCGGCCAATAAAATTTCTCGTTACAGAACTCACATTTTAAAGTTTTCTTTGAGCTGTGACGCAACTGGTGATGGCGAAGGCTGCTTGTATTACTTAAAATCTTGCCACATACGTTACAGCGAAACTTTGCCTCCTGTGTGTGTATTTTTCTGTGTTTATTCAGGATTTGTAGTCCATAATATTTCTTATCCCAAAACTCACATTTAAAAGTTTTCTCTCTTTTATCGCTATGGAGCAACAGGTGTTCGCGAAGGCATTTTGCACTACTTAAATTCTTGCCACATATGTTACAGAGTGATTTTGTCTTTGTCGGGGGATGTATGGTGTTTGCGCATATAAACCTTCTGCAGTAACCTCAATCTCATCAATTCATCCATAACACTGCCCTGCATAGTTTTTGAGGTTTGTGTATTATTAAGCTTTTCTGGGTGTATTTTGCATGCTGATCTCAAAAATATTATCCATTTTGCTCAATCAGGTCAGAATTTTGTGCTATAGCATTTTAAGCGGAGATTCAGGTAAAATATTGGCATTTTTCGCTCAAAATGGGGTCCTCATATTCGTTCATTAAAAAAATCATCCGAGACATTGGCAAGCCTCACAGAAAAGATTTCGGTCAGTTTTAATGCCCTTACGATGTATTTAAATACACCCACGTGCTCGCCGGCCATTTAAATGTCTGCCGTGACGCAAAGGAAAAGAGTATATGTCCTTGTTTTTTTACATATATTTTTTCACAATTAAATTTCTTTTTCATCTGGTGGTACATGGCATGTTTCCTCTGTCTGTGGGATAGTCGAGCAGACAAGCAGCACTACATGCAACGTGACTGGCCTGCAAGAAGTGGACTTACTCCAGGTTCTCACAATGTTGTTGCCCAATGCCCATGCTCTGGTGAATCCGCAGAACATTCTTCTTACGCTACTGCACATCAAGCTCTGTCTGTTCAAAAACTTTGTAAAGGCACTGGACAAAAAAAGCCAGGCTTTCAATTTTCTGAAAGAAAATTTTCCAAAAGTCAGTGAGGCAAAGCTGAATGCAGGAATATTTGATGGCCCTCAGATCAGAGAGCTTTTCAAAGATCCCAAGTTTGATTGCAGCATGGATGTAAATGAGAAGAAAGCCTGGCATGCCTTTAAGTCTATTGTCTCCAATTTTCTTGGCAACTACAGAAGTCCAGAGTATGAACGAGTTGTTGAGGACCTACTTCTGAGCTACAAAGTTCTTGGTGCACGCATGTCCATCAAGATGCACTTCCTCAGCTCCCACTTGGACTACTTTCCAGAGAACTGTGGTGATGTGAGTGAGGAACAAGGAGAACGCTTCCATCAAGATATCCGTGTAATGGAGGAGCGGTACCAGGGTCGCTGGGATATCAACATGCTCGCCGACTACTGTTGGTGTCTGAAACAGGACGCCCCAGGCACCAACCACCAAAGAAATTCTCTGGGACAGCCATTTATGCATGTCTAACTGTAAAGGCATCTATGTAGTTGACATATTTTGGTCCTATGTGTTGTGGTTACATTTCTTATGATATATTTTGCATAAAAATTTTGACATCATATTTAAGAATTTCGATTTTTTCCTAATTCCCATAGCATAAAAATCTGACCTGATTGGGCAAAATGAATGGCATTTTTGGAATCAGCACGCAAAATACATAAAGAATCAGCTAAGAAACCCTTCACACCTCATGAATTTTTTTTTCAAATGCAGCCCAGTGTAATATTAGCAAATTGACAACAGCGATTTATTCCGTATAATGATTTACTTCGGACAGGGGCCGAAATCCATGATGAGTTTCATTTCATGTGGTAATGTAGGCTGTCGCTGTGGCTAAGGCTGCTCTTTGTCGGAGAGGGTTTTAAAAGTTTTCTCTGTTGTGGCGCCTTTGAGGGGAGATGGGGATATGTTTTTTCTGTGGTTATCAAGGGTCTCTGCCTATAATATTTATAAAACTCGCATCCACCTTTGGTTGTCACAGTTGTAGTGCATTTTGATGGATGCTTGTAAGTAACTATACACACAGAGTAGATAGGTCGTGTTACCGCAGGGCTGAAGGAGCTGACTACTACTGGCTGTTGAATGGAGTAAGAACTCTTATTAGGCAACTCCTCCCTCCTCCTGCTCCTCCTCCTTTTTATATATAATTTGAGAGGCAAAAAAAAATTCGGTGGGGTGAGAGGAGGAGTATTTACCCGGATAATGACTGCGCCGAATTCCTAAGAGGTATTAATTTATTATCAAAGAAAGTTCAGCTTGTGTTTTTTTTTTGTGGGTGTGTTTTATGATGTGAAGTGTCTCGTTAATAAACTTCTGTTCACAGTCAGGAGCTGAAATCCATGATGATTTGTGGTAATGTAGGCTTTTAAAAGTTTTCTTTAAGCCTTGTTGAGAGTGTTGGCTAGTCTTATTTTATTACATCCGTCGCCATCTGTAAAAAAATAAAAAATACATCATTGAAAATACATTAAAGTCTCATACTCAAATTTTAAAACTGTGGTGTGTGTGGTGGGTGGGAAGGGAGTATTACTTTATTCCGGATAATGACTGCTGCCGAATATGGTGTCCCTCTTCCTCCTTGGGTTGTAGCAGATTTACTTCGGACAGGGGCACATCATCGAACTCGCATTCCTCCTCCTCCTTCACTACATCAAGATCTAGTAATTCTACTTCTTCTTTGTCTTCTTCTTCCTCCTTAGGTTGTAGTTTAATTTCATATTCCTCCTCCTCCTCCTCCTTTCTCTCCTCCTCCTTATTAGGTTGTGGTTTATCCTCAGGCAATTCTACTCCATCTTCAGGTAGCTTACAATTATCGTCTTCGTCGTCGTCGTCGTCATCCTCCTCATCCTCGTTGGCATTCTTCTCCTCGTCCTCGTCCAGAGCCTCTGGTGGTGGGGATATGTGTGTTTTTCTGTGTTGAACCAGGCTATTCGGCCAATAAAATTTCTCGTCACAAAACTCACATTTTAAAGTTTTCTTTAAGCTGTGACGCAACTGGTGATGGCGAAGGTTGCTTGTACTACTTAAAATCTTGCCACATACGTTACAGCGAAACTTTGCCTCCTGTGTGTGTGTATTCCTGTGGTTATTCAGAGCAGTCGACCAATAATATTTCTTATTACAAAACTCACATTTAAAAGTTTTCTCTCTTTTATCGCTATGAAGCAACAGGTGATAGGTAAGGCTGTTTTTACTACTTAAATTCTTTCCACATACGTTACAGCGAAGCTTTTCGTCCTGTATATGTGTTTTTCTGTGTTTATTCAGAGCTCTTGGCCCGTAATATTTCTTATCACAAAACTCACATTTAAAAGTTTTCTCTATGTTGTGGAGCAACCGATGTTCGCGAAGGTATTTTTCACAACTTAAAATCTTGCCACATGTGTTAAAAAAAAATTTTGGTGGGGATATCTGGTGACAGAGAAACTTGCTGCTGCAACTGGTGTTCGTCGAGGATTCTTGCATTTGTCTTTGGGGGATGTGTTTTTTCTGTGGTTTCAAGGGTCTCTGCCTATAATATTTATAAAACTCGCATCACACAAAGTTCTGACTTTGGTTGTCACAGTTGTAGTGCATTTTGCTTGTAAGTAACTATACACGTTACCGGAGGGCTCAAGGAGCTGACTACCACTGGCTTGAATTGAGTAAGAATTATTAGGCAACTTCTCCCTCCTCCTGCTCCTCCTCCTCCTTAGCTGTTTAGACTATAATCGGGAAAAAATAAAACCTTACATTTTTTATTAAGTATGTTTTATTATTATTTAATAATTTTATACTTTATATTTGTAACAACGAGAGTAGTAGTTTATTTTCATAAACTCGATGAGAATTGGGGAGAAATTCTAGACTGTGTTCATAAAATTTTCTGGATGGATTTTCTATTTCTTCCAGTTGATCCAAAACCATCAGCACCTCGTTCTGTGTCTACGAGTTCCTGAAAAAATGGATAATCATTAGTACCTTGGATCTCCATGCTTGACAACCCCACTGCTCCATCCCAAAGTCTAACCTTAGCTCTACAGAACACTATATTTTCTTGGTTGTTAGTAAGTAAAACCTTTTCGTCCCTAATACAATTTATGACATTTTTTTTTCAAATACTCAGTCCCTATCAAACATTTCATAATGAGGAATTGTCCCCAGAAGAATTAATGCAATTAGAGTACAGTATATGTGTTTCAACCATTAATGTTGACCAGTACAGTATGTTTTGTTACTGTTAAGAAATATTGGGCTCAAGAGAAAAAGAAGATAAACTGACACAACCTCAACTTCCTCGATATCTGGATACACGATTTTTTCACATATGAGCTGAGCTACTCGGTCACCATTCTTTACTTCAAAATCAGTCTTGGCGTGGTTGAAGAGAACAACGCCAACATTTCCCCGGTAGTCTCGGTCAATAACACCGGCTGAAAGGGTAGCCTTAAATAAACACAACATTCCTTCACGTGTATCTCAAGAGATTTTAACGTAAATGATGATAATGAGAACATAAGAAAGTGAGATTAAGAATACCTAACCTCTTGAGACATTAAGGCACTGGCCATGACAGAGTTCAACCAAGCCAATAACCCAAAATAGACATTAACCTCCAACATCAATGTGATTCTTCCAGGAAAGACCAGATCGTGGTGCCACCCTGCCATAACAATCTTCTGGTAACTCTACCTGTATGTCCGTCTTGATAAGAGCTTTGCCCTGGCCTGGAATTACTATATAATACGCACTGAAAAAGGGAAATAAGTTGTCACTCTTTAAATATTCATTCCCGTAGTTAAAGTTAAAATAACTAAATTAACATTCAAATCATCCACAAAATCAGAGCAGACTGTCTTATGAAAAATAACAGTGGTACACACATGATGCAAAAAGCCAAGAATTAAATCATTACACAAGCAAAAGGAAAAACAGCCTACAGTAAAGTACAGTACATCAATAATCATGACAGCAACTGAAGAAAATGGACATAAGATCAATGGTGGTTCACCCCTACCTGCACAAGTCAAACCCGGAGGCCAGTTTTGAACCTTTACTGGGAGTTATAGCATTCCCTGATAGCTTCTTGAACAGTAGGACACTTCTGATGGTGAAAGGCATGATGCTGATACTGTGGTGACAGAAGATGGTGTTACAGCAGCAGTGAGGTGGACGGGAATACAGCACACTCGGTTTCAATCCCCACAACGGCCTCTATAGTGTTTGAATGTGGCGGTAAAGACGGGCGGGAACGTGTGTACACCCTCCAGTTACCTCACACTTTATTTGATCTAATAACATTTAAAATCTGGTAACTAATGCTTGTAATAATTTAAAATCAATATAAACGAAATTAATTTTTATATATAATTATTTGGTCTAATTTACAATGAGGCAAAAAAAATTCGGTGGAGTGGCGAAGACCTTCTTGGCTAGGGGAAATTTACGACTGCTGCCGAATACGATGCAATAAAAAAAGTATTTTTGATGCAATGATTACAGGCAGCTTATTATTATCATCCTCCTTCTCCTTCCTTACCTAGTGTGACAAGCCACAAAATAAAGTGGTATTTTGTTATTAAAAGTTAGTATAGGGTACATTTTTATTGTTTTACACAGTTTATACTGATTTTTACCAGTACTCTTAAGACACATTTCTGTTAGTGATTGAATAGTAAATTAAAAATACAGTATAGATTCCATTCCTCCTTCACATCAGGAAACCTTAGATTTTAGGCGATTTACTTCCGGGGTAGATCATGGAACTCAAATTCTCCCATTCCCCCTCTTCTTTATCAGGAAAATCTACATCCTCCCATTCCTCCTTTACTACATCAACTCCATCAGGTAGCTTGCAATTATCGTCGTCTTCGTCGTCGTCATCCTCCTCGTCCTCTGGTGGTGGTGGGGATATGTGTGTTTTTCTGTGTTGAACCAGGCTACTCGGCCAATAATATTTCTTATTACAGAACTCACATTTAAAAGTTTTCTTTGAGCTGTGACGCAACTGGTGATGGCGAAGGCTGCTTGTACTACCTAAAATCTTGCCACATACGTTACAGCGAAACTTTGCCTCCTGTGTGTGTATTTTTCTGTGTTTATTCAGGATTTGTAGTCCATAATATTTCTTATCGCAAAAATCACATTTAAAAGTTTTCTCTCTTTTATCGCTATGGGGCAACAGGTGTTCGCGAAGGTATGTTGCACTACTTAAATTCTTTCCACATATGTTACAGAGAGGTGGGGATATCTGATGGTGTTTATTTCTGTGGCGAGCCAGGCTACTCGACCAATAAAATTTCTCGTCACAAAACTCGCATTTTAAAGTTTTCTTTAAGCTGTGACGCAACTGATGATGGCGAAGGCTGCGTGTACAACTTAAAATCTTGCCGCTTACGTTACAGCGAAACTTTGCCTCCTGTATGTGTGTTTTTCTCTTATAAATCTTCTGCAGTAACTTCAATCTCCTCAATTCATCCATAATATTAGCAAATTGGCAACAGCGAATTTATTCTTCCGGATAATGTTTTACTTCGGATAAGGGTCGAAATCCATGATGAATTTCATTTCATGTGGTGGTAATTTAGGCTTGAAAAGTTTTCTTTAAGCAGTGACGCAACTGGTGAATGCGAAGGCAGCATGCACTACCTAACTTCTTGCTACATACGTTACAGAGAGAATTTTCTTCCTGTGTCGCTGTGGCTAAGGCTCTTTGTCGGAGAGTGTTGGCTAGTCTTATTATATTGCATCCGTCGCCATCTGTAAAAAAATAAAAAAATACTATTATTAAAAATACATTATAACTCGTCTCATACTCAAATTTTAAAACCGTGGTTTGTGTGTGGTGGGAGGAGGAGTAATTACTTTATTCCGGATAATGACTGCTGCCAAATATGGTGTCTTGTCTTCCTCTTCCTCCTTGAGTTGTAGCAGATTTAATTCAGACAGGGGCACATCATCGAACTCGCATTCCTCCTCCACATCAAGATCTAGTAATTCTACTTCTTCCTCCTTAGGTTGTAGTTTAATTTCATCTTCCTCCTTCTCTTCTTCCTTCTCCTCCTCCTTCTTCTTCGTTGGTTGTGGTTTATCCTCAGGCAATTCTACTCCATCAGGTAGCTTACAATTATCGTCACCGTCGTCGTCATCCTCCTCCTTGTTGGCATTCTTCTCCTCGTCGTCCTCGTCCTCTGGTAATGGTGGGGATATGTGTGTTATTCTATGGCGAACCAGGTTACTATCCCAATAAAATTGCTCGTCACAGAACTCACATATAAACATTTTAAAGATTTCTTTGAGCTGTGACGCAAATGGTGAGGGCGAAGGTTGCTTGTACTACTTAAAATCTTACCACATACGTTACAGCGAAACTTTGCCTCCTGTGTGGTGTGTATTTTTCTGTTTATTCAGGGTTTGTAATCGTCTATAATATTTCTAATCACAAAACTCACATTTAAAAGTTTTCTCTCTTTTATCGCTTTTTCACAACTTAAAAATCTTGCCACATGTGTTACAGAGAAACTTTGGTGGGGATATCTGGTGTTTATTTCTGCGCTCACAGAGAAACTTGCTGCTGCAACTGGTGTTCGTCGAGGATTCTTACATAAGTTTTTTTTTTGTATTTGAATTGTAAGTAACTATGTCACACAGATTAGATAAGTGTGTTACCGGAGGGCTCAAGGAGCTGACTACTACTGGCTGTTGAATGGAGTAAGAACTCTTATTAAGCAACTCTCGCTCCTCCTCCTCCTCCTCCTCCCCCTCCTCCTGCTCCTCCTCTCTCACACACACACTGTGAGGTTTTCAGTGGACTGAAAGAAGAGGAGGAGGGTGGAAGTGGATTTTACTTCTAAGAAAGAGAAAGGATCTTAACACCTCCACTTTCTTAGAATCGGGAAAAAATAGAAATACTCAAATTTTAAAACCGTGGTTTGTGTGTGGTTCTTCTTCACTCACCCTCTTTTTCTTAGGTTGTAGTTTACCCTCAGGTAATTCTTCTACTCAGGTAGCTTATAATAATCCTTTTTCTCCAGCTCCTTATCATCCTCCTTCTTTCTTGGCAAGGGTACACTTAGCCTGGTGTTTACTAAGGCCGGAAGGCCAAATATATTTCTTATCACATATACATTTATATAGCTTGTTCTTAAAATGATTATGATACTTTAAGGAATACGCAAAATTAAATCCCTTATTACATATCTTACACTTATAAGGCTTGTCCGATAAATGAATGTTAAGATGGTTTCTTAGGTAAATTTTACTGATTTCCTTCTTACATATGTGACAGCGAACCTTTATGTTTGTTTTCATGTGGTCAGTCAGGGCCTTTGGTCCATAATATCTCTTATTACAAAACTCACATTTTAAGCTTTTTTCTACATTATGGCGCAACTGATGTTCGCGAAGGGTTCTTGAACTACTTAAATTCTTGGCACATATGTTACAGATTTTTTTTTTTTTCTTTTGGAGGAGATGGGGATATGTGCTATTTTTTGTGGTTATCAAGGGTACTCTGCCTATAACTCGCATTTAAAAGTTTTCTCACTTTGGTTGTCATAGTTGTAGTATTCTTGTAAATAACTATGCACAGAGTAGATAGGCGATGTTACCGGAGGGCTCAAGGAGCCGACTACTACTGGCTGTTGAATGGAGTGAGAACACTTATTAGGCAACTTCTCCCTTCTCCTCCTTAGCTGTGCGGCAAGCATATCCCTTTTTATATTTTATACTTATAGGGCTTTAAATGAATATTAAAGTGGTATTTGAAGTGTTCTTTTCTGATAACCTTATTACATACGATACGGAGTTTGCATTTGCGTTTGGCTTCGTGAGTAGTCAAATCCATCTTCCAGCCGGGTTAGATACGATTAGGCTGTTAACACTCACTAAGACTTGACCGTGGCCCTGCCCTCAAATTTTTGACCGTCTCTCGCGCCTCTCGATGGTAAATGTGAAAAAAACTATCCGAATCTTCCTTTTATTTATATCAGAGTATTACGTCTGTCGTACATGCATTATTAAAATACAAAATCTTGTTCGTTCATTTTATACCAAAAAATGTGAATATACCTCAGTAAATAATAGGGGGGGAGCTATTATGTACTCCTGGTACATAAAATATGAAAAAGTACATAAAACTGGATAAAGGTACATAAAAATGGGTTGTTACAAAATAAGCTTAGCTATTTTAGATATTATGGGGGTGAGGATAAGATCCTCGAAAAATGCAAATACAATATAAGTTTGTTTTACCTAGAAGATAAAAATATATTTCTATTTTATATTTTTGTTTTTAATAATATTTTGTGAGTAGAAAGGCACTTCGATACTGAACTATCTTAGCTTTATATTCTACTCTTCTCTGTCTCCTCCTTCTTATTCTCCTTTTCATCTTCCTCCTCCTCATTTTCGAATTTCTAATTTCTCTATTTGTATTTTCTCCTCTACAGTTTTATCCTCCTCCACCTTTGTACAAAATAAGCTTAGTTATCTTAGATATTATGCGGTGAGGATAAGATCCTCGAAAAATACAAATACATATAATATAAAGTTTGTTTTACATTTTTTGGATAAAAATAATATATTTATTTTATATTTTTGTTTTTAATAATATTTTGTGAGTAGGATACTGAACCAGTAATTATTTTAGTTTATATTCTACTCTTCTCTCTATCTCCTCCTATTTTTCTCATCTTCCTCCTCCTCATTTTCTAATTTCTCTATTTGTATTTTCTCCTCTAGTTTTATCCTCCTCCACTTTGTTCATCTGACAACGAAGGGAAGACTGGAGATTTTGTTCAAAAGGAAAGTTAGTACTAGTTTTCCGACGAAGACGTTGCATTTTAATGAGACGACGACTTTCCTCTTGCATTTTCTTAGTTGGAACAAAGCTCGTTAAACATTGCTCTATATTTACCCAAATCAATCTTTTATCTTCTTCCTTCAGATAAGGGTATTAAATTTCTTTTTGGCAAGTTGTATTTGACTTAAAGAATATAGTGCTGCATGATTTCTTAAATTAATAATTTTCATAAAATTTGATATATATTGTAAATGAACAGAAGTATACAATATTACAGGAGAATAATGGGCACTAATCAACCTTTTAATTTCATATTGTGTCA